GACACAGAGGAGAGATGAAGGTGAAGTAGAGAAGGGAGGAGAGACCGGAAATGAAAGAGAAGACATAGCAGAGGACAGACATAACCGAGGGTGAAAAAAAAAAAAAAAAAAAAAAAAAAAAAAGGGCGAGAAAGAAGTAAGGTGGAGGAGGAAGAGAAGGGAGGTTGGCGAGGAAGAAGGTGCCGACAGCCATAGCCGACCTAGAGGTTGACTGGGCGTTGACCAGACCGGAGCGTTGACCTGGGTGTGACCGCATTGACCAAGCGTTGATCGAGGCACTGACCGGAGCCGTTGACCACGATTTTGACCAAGCTGGAGTTGGTATAATCTCGCCAAGCCCTTAGCCTAACCCCTCACCATATGGATGTGCACTCACCCTATGGTACTTGTTGAGTCTGAGTCTGTCTGTCTCTTCTTTCTGCATCGAGTCTCTTTTGTCCAGGTGATAGGATTCCGTGTATGAAGGATAGGGCCTCGTTGACTAAACCCACACGGGCTGAGTAGGGCTAAAGACTGTGTCTGACGACTCGACTGTCCTGGAGGACACGAACCCTCCCAAGGACCGGTACTGACCGGCAGGCTGCTCGGTGTCGCACGGTAGGCCAAAAATCCGAGTTGTGGGCTGCACAACGGGCCGTCTAAGTCTTGAGAGGATCTGTTGACCGCGTCGTCCTGTTTGCGACGTTAAAGAATTCCTGAGGAGTTACGGGGGATCTCCATAAATGCGTCCTGGTCAGCAACAGATCCTGTAGTGACGGTTGTAGTATTAGAGTCCAGGCTAGAGACCATAGTTGACAGGGTTCTATATGGATCCTGTGGTCCATAGACTGAGTCAATCTTAGGTAAGTCGGTCAGGGGGGACGTCTAAGTGGTGAGGAGCGGAACCGTCACTTGGTTGTGCGTCTGTCACCATGGTAGACACGCGTACAGAAACGAGCACCTCCCCTTATACAGCAGAGCAGGATGCGAAGGCCGCCGCCATCCTTAAAGAGAGAAGAGAGGAGGATGCCAAGAAGAAGGCCTTGATAGAAGAACAGACGACGAAGTAGAAGAAGATTGAGGAGGAGATGGTCAAAGAAAAAGAGAGGTTAAAGAAAGAAGAGGAAGAGAAGCTCAAGGCAGTAGAAGAGGAGGAAGAGGTAGAAGAACCGCCACTAGAAAGGCGAAGGACAGGAGGACGAGGAGAATCCAATGGAACAAAGGAAGATCAGATGGAGAAGAAGATTACGGAGTGGGTTGCTGGTTTATCCCTGGGAGAAGAAGAGAAGGCACTAATGTATGTGACCAAGGAAAAACAAGAGGCGCCCATGCGAGAGTGGGATGCAAAAGAAGACCCGCTCAAGCGGCAAGCTATAGAAGATGAGAAGATGATGGAGTGGAAGTTCCGACTGATGAGGGAGAAGAAAAGGAGAATGGAGGCGGAGAGCCAGGCGCCGAAAGAATTGGAGGAGGTAAAGAAGCAAAGAGCGCAAATGGCGACACAGGTGGACCTATTGGGGAAGATGGAGATCATGGCGAGAAACATAGAGCGTCTGGCCCAGGTCCACGAAAAACAATATCTGTTTGGTAGAGGTCATGACATTGTCTTGCGCTCTATACGGCTGAGACTCAGGGACTTTGCAAGGGAATTAGCGATGCAGGTGGACTCAGAGGTGAAGGCCCGCCTAGAGGGCACAAAGAGTTATTGCACGGGCGCAATAGAAGGCGCCAGACTGACTGCTCCCAAGGAGGAGGAAGCACGTCCCCGAAGGGAGCCTGTCAAGGTCAAGTTCCCTGACTCCTATAGCGGGAAGAAAGAGGAGAATTTTGACAATTGGTAAGCCAATGTCAAAACCTACGTACATCTGCAGAAGGTCTCCCCGAACGAGCATGTCCTTATAGTCGTCCATGCCCTCCGAGACGAAGCAGCGAGCTTCGCCCGTTCCCTGTGTCACGCCGCCAACTGTAATGATGATTTAGTCGCTTATTCCGCGTTCACTCCCCTCACTGAATTCCTTAAATTATTACGTGAATGATTCGCAGATGTCCTACGCAGTGTCAAAACCTCCGATAGATTGCAAACCATCCACTCTCGTCAGTGGAAGAGTGCTAGAGCACTCAAGGGTGTGATGGACGAGCTAGTTGCCGTCCCGGACCATGTCACTGAGACCCAACTGGTCAACCTCTTCTATTGTGCAATGCCCGAACAGCTGCGCGGACATTTCTTTGAAAAGAGTCAGCAGCCTACCATGACCTACGACGCTTTGAGCAGGGAAGTGGTAGTCTTTGAGGCGCGGTCTATGTCAATCTCCACTTTTTAGCATAAGGACCTAGACAAGGGCAAAAAGTGGAAAGGTCGCACCATCTCAGGACAGGTCAAGACCAAGGATCGCCTGATCCTTACTTTAGATGAGGGTGGTGTAGACGAAGTCCCCTACGAGCAGATTGAGTGGGGGTTTGAGGAAGAGGACAGTAGCGTTAGTCAGGGGAGGACCTACGCTGCTGTCAAGCCTGGAGCGAGGCCGCAAGGAGGAAGTAGAGGTCAGGGCCAAGGGGGCCGGGCCTCAGAGGGCCGTTCCCAGAGCGATCAGGGGGTTGGCGGTAGAGGACACCGCCAAGTGGGAGAAAGGGGTCAAGGTCCCCCGCAAAATCGTTAAGGGAATGGGTCGCCTAATAGACGGAATAGGTCACCAAATAGGGGAAGCAAGGCACCCTCTTGGAGAGGCGGTTGACACCCAGGGCTGCCACCGGGTCGGCCTTGGGAAGACTTGGGCTTGGACCAGCGCTTATGGCAACAACGTGTTGATCAGGGGCAGTGCATATATTACGGTGACCATGGCCACATCATTAAATGCTGTCCAAAGTATAAAGAGGCCCGTTCGGCTGCCCAGGGGTCAAAAGGCCGCCGCCGGTAAGGGTAGCAACTGCCCCTACCACAAGGCCATATAGGGAAGCGAGAGCAAGCCGACAAGAAACTCCCACACCACATATGCCAATGGCAAAGGTTGCAGGCCGGTGCCTAAATAGTTGTTCAAAGACTGTTTGTGTCAGAGTCTCTCTAGGCACTTCCCTTACAGGCGTGGCCGATGAGTTAAAGGAGAAAATGCCCGCCTGGGCCAAGATGAAGAAGGAGAGTAGGGGACAACTAGTTTTAGTAGACGTAGAGATTTTCAGAGCTAGAGTAAGGGCCCTAGTAGATAGTGGGACCACACGCAGCTATATTAGTGGAAAGACGCTGGAGAAGTTGAAGATGGGGCTAAAAGCCCAGAAGTTAACAGACCCCATAGTGACTATCCTCACAGACAATCGCATAACGCAAGTAGAGGATTACATAGAGGGAGTCCAGACATACTCCATAGTGACTATCCTCGCAGACAATCGCACAATGCGAGTAGAGGATTATGTAGAGGGAGTCCAGACATACTTTCGCCTAGAGAAAGATGGAAAAGTGGAGAAAGTTCTTCATTCCCTGACTCTCCTCATAGAGGACAACCTTCCCTTCGATATAGTCCTAAGAATGGACTTGGAAGAGGCAGCCGGGGCCACACTCCATTTGAGAGAGCACGAGTGTAGGCTCCCTAGCCCGTCAGGCGAAGTCAAGACTGCCCGTCTGTTTCATGTGTCAAGAGTAGACAACTCCCTGACACATTGTTGCCTTGGCGCTCCTGTGTTCGCGAGGTTAGTGAAGAAGGAGCAGCTAGAAGAACAGGTTTTTGTAACCTATGTTAGGCCAGTTACTGAGCCTAAAAAGGAAAAACCCATGATCCCGCCATTGCCAAGTTGCTGGAAGAGTACAGAGATCTAGCTAAGCCCCCTACAGGGGTAGTCCCGCGGCCCATCCAGTATCGCATTGAGATTGAACCTGCCAGCTGGACTCCTAAAGGAGCAGCGTATAGGATGTCCCCGCGATAATTGGAAGAGCTGCGCAAGCAGTTAGATGAACTGCTAAAGAAGGGTTGGATTAGGCCCAGTTCGTCTCCATTTGGAGCACCTGTTCTATTTGTCCCAAAAATGGAGGGAAAACTTAGAATGTGCATTGACTATAGGGGTCTCAATGCTGTCACCGTGAAGAACGCGGAGCCATTACCCCGTATAGATGATCTTTTAGATCGGGTGCAGGGCTGCAAGTATTTTCAAAGATAGACTTGAAGTTCAAATATCACCAGATAGAGGCCCATCCTGATGATCAATATAAGACCGCGTTTCGGACTAGATATGGGCACTACGAGTTTATAGTTATGCCCTTTGGACTAACCAACGTGCCAACAACTTTTCAGCGTTGTATGAATGACTTGTTTAGGTCGTGGTTAGACAGGTTTGTAGTAGTCTACTTAAATGACATTCTAGTGTTCAGTAGGACCCTCCCGGAGCATGAGAGTGATCTAAGGCAGATCTTGGAGAAGCTGAGAGAGACCAACTTCAAGATCAATGCAAAGAAGTGCGAATGGGCAAAGACCCAAGTTTTATATTTAGGTCATGTCTTAGACGAAAACGACATCAAACTAGAAGATAGTAAGATCGCAGCGATTAGAGATTGACCTGCACCCCGCACATTGACAGAGTTGCGGTCGTTCTTAGGCATAACTAACTATTACAGGAAGTTCGTGAAAAACTTCTCCACCATCGCTACACCCCTTCGCAGGTTGCTGAAGAAAGAAACAATCTGGAAGTGGGACAAAGACTGCACGTCTACCATAAGGAAATTGAAGCAGGCGTTGATAGAGTACCCGTTCCTTAAGGCAGTCGATCCGTCCTTACCTTTTGTCGTCACAAGTGATGTGAGCCAGTATGGTATAGGCGTTGTATTACAGCAAGACGATGGCAACGAATATAGACCCGTATAGTTCATGTCTGCTAGGATGCCTTCAGAGAAGGTAGTGACATCTACCTACGAGAGAGAACTCTACGCTCTCAGGCAAGCATTAGAACACTGGAAGCACTACTTGCCTGGGAGACACTTCAAAGTCTACTCAGACCACGAGACATTAAGGTGGCTGAAGATGCAGACTAAGATGACACCTAAGCTTACGAGGTGGGCCGCAGAGTTAGACCAATATGACTTTGAGCTTAAGCCAGTCAAAGAGAAGTATAATGTAATTGCGGACGCTCCGAGTAGGATAGCCGACTACTTTGGAGCAATAGTTCATTATCTGGATATATGGAGAGACCTGCACCAGAAAGTTAGAGAGGTGTACGCGCAGGACCCTATCTATTGTGACCTCCTCAAGAGAGTAAAGGAAGCCCCAAAGTCCGAACCAAACTACCTCACTACTGATGGGTTGTTGTTCGAAAAGCCTAACGTAGTTAACCCGATTGTGTGTTCCTAACAGTGAGGAGATTCGTAGTTTGATCCTAGGGGAATGCCATGATACTGAGGGACATTTGGTTGGCAAACGACTCTAGCTAACCTCATGCGCGCGTACATATAGCATGGGATGAAGGCCAACTGCATAGAGTATGTTCGCAGTTGTAAGGTTTGTCAAAGAAATAAGACCACTACGCATGCCCCTCTAGGTCTTCTCGGACCCTTGCCTATTCCTGATCAGTCAGGAGACTCAGTGTCCATTGACTATATGGACACCCATGTCAAGAGTAGGCACGGCAAGTGCCAAGTCATGGTAATAGTTGATAGATTCAGTAAATATGTTATTTTTGTTCCTTTGCCCTCAGAGGCACGTACAAAGTTAGTTATCCAGAAGTTCTTTGATCATTGGGTCAGTGAACACGGGATTCCACTATCTATAGTTAGTGATAGAGACACCCGGTTCACCAGTCAGAACTTGCAGGAGTTGATGAGAGTCTATGGCTCCAAGTTGTTGATGTCCTCTGGCCGTCATCCAGAGACTAACGGTCAAACTGAACAGATGTTTGCAACAAGTTCTGCGTATGTACATTAGACCGGATCAGCTCAATTGGGATGAGATGTTGCCCAAAGTAGCCAGTGCGTACAATAACAGCGTGCATTTGTCTACCTGTCGCACTTCCAACGAGTTGCACAAGTCCTTTAGACCACGCAGACCGTTTGAGGGACTTAAACGGGATCAGACTCACAGGCTACCGCCCGATACTAGGGAGTTTGCGTTACAGCACGAAAAGGAGTTTAGCTACCGTTGTAGAGAACCTCAAGAAGGCCCAGCATAGAATGATAGAGCAAGCCAATAAGCACCGTCGCCCGTCGCAGTTTCGAGTCGGCGACTTAGTATGGGTCAAGTCTAAAGAGTTTGCGCCTGAGGAGAACATCTCGCAGAAGCTATTGCCCGCGTATAGAGGACCGTGGCCAGTTCTAGAAGTTAAGGGCGGAGAGGATGGGCCGTCCTACACAGTAGAGATCCCAGCACACCTCCACACCTACCCCGTGTTTCATGCGTCAAAGTTGTTGCCCTGTGTCACAAGTCAACAGTTTCCATCTAGAAGATCCATGATCCCCCCAGACATGGACGGAAGGTACGACATTGACGGCATTGTACGTGAAGACGTATTCACAACAGGAGGTAGAGGTCGTCCACAGAAACAGTACAAGGTTCGATTTGCGTATCAGGAACCCGAGGACGATCGCTGGTTTACTAGGACTGAACTTCTAGAATCAGCTCCCGACATCGTGAGAGCCTACGAGAGAGAAAGGAAGGGAAAAGGTCCTGCCTTAGACTGAGCTATTCTCGGAGGACCTCGAATTTAGGCCGGCGGGAGTGAAACGGTATTCACCTGTTAACAGTAGCGGATGCAGGTCCCAGGACTCGATCCCTAGTGCTCACTTTACCTGTGTACAGTATCAGTGTCGACCCTGAGTGTTTGAACCCGTGACCTGTGTTTTGAGAGTTGTTGTTGTCTGTCGTAGGTCTGTGTAATGGTAGGGGTTCGATCTGCAGATCTGTCAAGTAGGAGTCACAGCCCTGTAGAGGTCGTAGCTGTAGGAATCCTGAAAGGTCAAAGTCGTAGCTGCTACAGTCCTGAAAGGTCAAGGTCGTAGCTGCTACAGTACTCGAAAGGCCAAGTCCACCGACTTCCGGAAGGTCCGGAAGTGGCCTTTCGAAGCTGCCTCACGTTTTAGTCAGAGGCAAGTGGGCAAGTGGTGAGTCCAGCTGCATTACGTCGGCAGTGCGACTGCATTGAGTTGGCAGTGCAAACCCATGCAGTCAGCGGTACCGGTCCAACAGTCCCAGTCCAGTCAAGCACGTACCATGAGGGACTGCGTGCACCATAGGCCTGGTGGAGAGGGGCAGACCAACGAGTTACAGAAGTATAAATCAAGAGGCAGCGCCCCGTCATTCATTCATTCCTGTCATTCGTTCATTCCTGCGTAAGCCATGCGGAAGCGCTGCTACAGCGACTCGTGTGAGCTGGTCTGCAGTAGGCCCGAAGACGAAGTGGGCGAGAAGGAAGCTTAGCCATAGCGATAGGGTAGGCAGCGGACATAGCTGCCATAGCTGATAGGAGAGAGCGGCGTGTGTGAGTGTGCGAGGGTACAGTGTGTTGCGTGTGGGATATCCAGGGTGATCCAGAGTTGAAGTGTGAGAGAACAGTGGTGTTGGACACAGTGACGAGAGTTGGGATGTATAGGTGCTGGTGCACCATAGCCTGTTGAATTGAGTTTGCATCCGAACTGTGTTCTTGGTTTCCATATCTCTGAGCTTTGAGTTGGGCGCTATGCACCAGTGTGAATCACCATCTGTTTGTATGCATGCGAAGCGAAGAAGACAGTGAGTCTGATTGCAGAGAAAAGAGAGCTCCAGTGTGCTTTTTTCGTCTTGTCTACTTGTCCAGGCACACCTCTGCATGTCACCTTCGCTCGGGGCAAGTCCGGGTTTGGAATGTTCACCCCAGGGCCTCCTTTTGTTCGGATGTTCGAACACACTGAACCCCGACCACTGGCCCATGGAAATCCCGGTTCGAAGACGCACGTGGGGGAAGTAGTTCCGCCAAATGTGTTGTTTCGTTCCCGTTGGGGAGCCAAGCTCACCAGGCGTGGTGAGAGGGGGCAACGTTGACGAATGAGGGCAGAGGTTCAGTGCTGTGCGCGAAGACACCGAGAGTTCCGTTCACACCTGGAGGGATGGGGAGGAGCGGTGCCGCTGCTCATGCCATCGAAACACAAACAAATATGGTGGCGTATCTTTCCATGTTATAGCAGAAGATTCATTCTCATTTTGCACATTTCCCGAAGGGGCAGAGACTTCTGTTTACACTTCGGCCAAAAAAAAAATCCGTACGTTGGAGAGCAGTGTGAGGGTGCTCTCTCTCTCTCTCTCTCTCTCTCTCTCTCTCTCTCTCTCTCTCTCTCTCTCTCTCTCTCTCTNCTCTCTCTCTCTCTCTCTCTCTCTCTCTCTCTCTCTCTCTCTCTCTCTGTGTGTGTGTGTGTGTGTGTGTGTGTGTGTGTGTGTGAGTGTGTGTGCTCTGCACGAAGACACCGAGAGTTCCGTTTACACTCTGAGGGATGGGGAGGAACGGTGCCGCTGCTCACACCATAGAAAGACAAAAAAATATGGTGCGAGGGTGCTCTCTCTCTCTCTCTCTCTCTCTCTCTCTCTCTCTCTCTCTCTCTCTCTCTCTGTGTGTGTGTGTGTGTGTGTGTGTGTGTGTGTAATGTGCACGAATACAGAGATTCCATTCACCCTCGGAGGTATGGGGAGGAACGGTCCGTGGAGGGAGGAAGACGATCACGGGAATGAGAGAGGAGCGAGCGAGAAAGGTCATGAGGGGGGGCGTTCGGCATCGTTTTCGACCTGACTGTGAACGGAACTCTCCACCCCTGACCGACGGGGCTAGCTCAGTTGTTACACCCACAAACTGTTGAAATACACACACCTGAGTTCGAATCCAGGTGGAACTAGATGAAGCAAATTCCTGAGTTTTGAGGGGCCAGTCAGTTTCTGGAGTGTGTCAACCTTCAAAAGAATAAAATAAAAAAAGACCTCTCCAACTCTTCATGCACAATACCAGTTCAGAGAGAAGACGGAACTCTGCCGCAGCAGCACACACAAAGAGAGAGAGAGAGAGAGAGAGAGAGAGAGAGAGAGAGAGAGAGAGAGAGAGAGAGAGAGAGAGAGAGAGAGAGAGATCACCCTCTGCCGCAGGCGTAGAGTCCGCTTGTGTAGCAACTGGGGGCTTCGTTGGTTTTTGGTGATTTACAATATCATCCTCACCACAATCTACCTACCCCCATCTCCTCCTAAGTTCCTCTACCTACCCGCATCTCGTCCTAAACTCCTCTACCTACGAGCAATTTTCCTCCTAAATTCCTTTTTTTTGGGCTATGGCTTTTGGTTGGTCTAGCCCTCTGGACCTTGAGGTTTAGGGTTTAGGGATGGTCCCTTGGCTGATCAAAAGAAAGGGAAATCGAGAGGAGGGTGGGGAAGGGAGGGAGGGCGGGGTTTTTGAGGGTAGGGGGCAAATGATGATTTGCGGCAAGAACTGGAGCTCCTCTCTGGGGAAAGGCTCTGCGCTTTCTTGCCCAGTGAGCACTATCCAATATTATCTTGCATTTGGGAGCTGAAAAAAGAATATACTCTGCGATCCAAAATTCAAATCAAAGCAAAGCAAATCAAACCAAATCAAATCAAATCCGCCAGATATGACGCAACCAACAAAAAAAACGGAACAAAAAAACAGAGAGCAAGACTCCGGACTCAGATGAAAGCAGATCAAATGAAATCAAATCACAGACCAAATGCGGCACAGATAGACCACCGCCAGATCTAGCTCGGGTCATCATATCATCATGGCTGAGGATCTCAGTGGGGGGAGGAGGGAAAGGGCGGGATGCATCCTCCTTCCTCCTCGCCCCGATCCTCCTCCTCCCCACCACCATCTCCATTCCCAGCAACAAATAGGGTTCCGAGTTTCTCTAATGCCTCCAGCACTTGAGGGTCTTCCTCCTCCTCGTACCCTCTCTGCAGTATGACTGGCACATTGGCTGCCCAGAGCGCCTTCCTCCCTCCCTGCTGCGTCCCGATCAGCAGCAAAGACTCTGCCGCCGCCACCTGAACCTCCACATCCTTCTCCTTCACTTGGGCGAGCTTCAGCGCCGCCCCCACAGCCGCTGGCATTTTCGATACCTCCTCTTCCGAGTACCCCTTGCAGCCCGCAAGAGGCACCAAAAGCACCGGAAGCAACCACTCCCATAGGTCGAGAATGGCGTCGAGCTGCCGCTCCACCTCAAAGCAACAGTTACGGATCACTCTTGCAATTCCCTGACGTCGAACAGAGAAAGAGCAGGAAGAGGAGAAGAGAGAGGAGGGGAGGGAGGGAGAGGAGGAGGGAGGGGGCCAAATGCGTTGTAGAAGTGGCTTCAACAAGGATTCTCTCCTCTCCAGTACCAGTCTTCGACCTTTCTCCAGTCTAGTCACATTCACCAGCACCCACGTGGCATGATCCCAGGCGTCCACATCAGCAGCACCGCGACCATTCTCCGCTGATGATGATGGTGATGATGATGTGGACACAAACAACTCCACTAAACGACACAAGTGCAACCCCTCCAGCTTTGGTTGATCGATCTGCAGAAGCTGAGCTGCCCCGTCCTCCGATTGCGTGAGATTGGTAAGTAGCAAAACCAGATGCCCTCGCCTGGGAAACTCTGCCTGGGCTATCAACTCCATCGCCTTGTCTATCGCTCCTAACTTCACCATTCTTCCTGCCAATCGTGGATTTTGAGACAGATTTACTAGGGTGGATGCCGCGAGCTCGGCTATGGCTGCCTCATCATAGAGCCGCCGAAGGAGGGAAGGAATGAGATCTCCAGCCACGTATCCCAGTTTCCGCAACCCTTCCTCCGATCCAGTCAAGCCCTGCACGATCGATACCGCCATCTTCCTCACCTCTATGTTTGCCGCCGACACGAACTCTACCAACTCCTCAAGCTCCGTCGTCGCCATCGCCACCACCTCTCTCTCTCTCTCTCTCTCTCTCTCTCTCTCTCTCTCTCTCTCCTGTCTCTTATACACATCTAGATGTGTATAAGAGACAGGTGCAAACCCATGCAGTCAGCGGTACCGGTCCAAC